GAATAATTGCACTTTCCTGTGCGCTTTCGCGATTTGATAACGAGAAAACAATTATTCCATCCGATACCAATTGGATAATTGATTACTGAAACCAACCTCTGCCACCGCTCAGTCTGAGCCAAATCTACGGCACAGCGATAAATTTGCTGCTCTTCTTCCCCATAGACTTTCATCATGTGATAACGAGAAGAAACTAGAAGCAAATAAAAGGGGATGATGTCACCTTTGCGGATATCCAAACGTGCCGCGATTCAAACTGGTTTAAGCAGTTAGTGGCTGAGCGTCAATACTTCCGAAAATATTTTGCCCCCTCTAAAGATAATATCCGATGGACAAGTGTGACACTCAACATGTGCATTAGAATCCTTGTAGTGTTCGCACCACATGAGTTTCACATTGGTCCATCGGATATTATCATCTGTTGAGGGCAAAATATTCACAGATATATTGACGCTCTGCTACTGAGTTCAATCAGTTCGAATCGCAGCACTTTTGGATATCCACAAAAGAGACATTTTTTCTTTCCATTTACGAAAGTTCCTATGTCTGGAGTAATAAGGCACAGGTGGGTTTTTGAGGTAGATTCAATTGGTATCAGATGGCAAAATTCTCATCTCGTTACCAAATCGCGAAATAAAGAGCAAATTTTTGTACCGAAAAGTGCAATTTTTTGCATATTATGCTCAGGATAGTGATTGGCACAGTTGCCGTGCGAAGAAACAACGATGTTTTCACTTTTACTTAGGGCCATTATAGGAAGTAGGCAAGAACACACGAGATACAGCCTCAGTAAGTAGCTTTTTACGCAGAGTAAGCACATCGCACAGTTTTCGTTTATTCCGCCAGTATAGATATGTCATGATCGCGTAATCGCCGTCAACAGCGGATGACAACTGACAAGAATTGAAATTCAGACTGTCTGTCCAAACTTTTTTGATGTACTATATGACAGTATAGGTGAAGTATAGTACGCACTCATGGAACTAACTTTCCTACCTGTGAAATCTTTGTTATCTGATCGATTTTGAGAAACTTCCTCTTGTTGGATATGTTTTTGAAATGTCCATCCAACAAGAGAAAGATTCTATTCTTGGACTGTTATCGTGGCCAACTGCGACCAATTTAATTGACCCATATTCCATCAGGGAATACTATCAGGGACATGCAAAATATGAATGGATTCTGACTCAGGATCACTTGAAACATTTCTGTACCGATTTTCATCATCACAAAACACAGGGTGTCCAAATGATTGCCTTTTAATTTTTTTCCTCAGACATATTGTCGAATTGATCCTCAATAATGATGTGTCATTAGTTCTTTTCAAAAATAATACATTTCTATATTTTCTGATCACATGATGAAGAGAAATAATAATTCGTTTTTTCTTTCACCCCGTGTTTTATGATGATGAAAATCGGTGAAGATATGTTTCAAGTGATCGTGATTCAGAATCCAGCATCATATTGTGTGAATAAATATATCTCATCGAACTCTCTGAAATATGGGTCAATAAAGTTGGTCGCAGTTGGTCATAATAACAATCCAAGAATGAAATCACTCTCTTATTCGATGTCCATTTCAAATACCACTCCAACAAAACGATGGACACACTGTATATTGTCACAATATTCTACTATCCTGCTGGAATTGGAATGTCGAAATTCTTCAGCGGCTTCTACGGCCAAAAATAGGAAGAAGAATTCCAATGAATATGAGTCGAGAAATGTCTCCTAAGGCAACAATTCCCGAATGGGGACTCCTGGAGATGGAATTCCTTGAATATTTCCGAAACGCCATGTGATGCAATAATGTCATTTGGTACAAGTAGGTACTGAACTTCATTCAGTGAAAGAATAATTCGAAAATTTCATTCATGAGTGTATAATACAAGGTGGGACTAGATTGAATATTGGTCAAACTTTTTCATATGCATATTTTTGGACAATAAATTCTCGGATTATGCAAATCCACACTCTTTGCTAGCAAAAAAGCTGCTCCTGTTCCGTATCGGTCAGATTAATGATTTCCGAGTGAAATCTGATCGATTCATACCAGAAGTACCTTTTTTTTGTAAATAGAGGGGTTTTTTCATAATTCGAGATTGAATTGTGTCAAAATATGCATGCAAAAAAAAAATCAGCAGTATTTAATGTAGTCCCACCCTGTATCATACACTCCTGTTTCTGATCCAGAAATCCTGAAATAATGGTAAAGTCACTGCTTTCAGCATGGAGAGTTTTTGTACCAAATTGCATCATTTCATCACATGGCGTTTCGGAAATATTCGAGAAATCTTCAGGAGCCCCCATTCAGGGGACCATAGCTTCCTCAAGAGACATTTCGAGACTCATGTTTGATGATAATTTTCCACCTATTTTCCGTCAAAGAATCCGGTGGTGAAGTTTGGCAGGCTGATTTCGGGACACCCTGTATGTTTTCCATAGTAATGGAGTGCACACAAAGGGAATTCTCAAATTCCACTCATACCAGAAGATGTGAATCCGGTGGAAAAATAATTTGTTGAAATTGCCATATTCACAAGAATATACCAGGTGATACAGGGTATCGTGTCACCCCTGTAACTTCTGCATGCATGAACTGATTCCTGTGAAAATTGGGACAGTTATATAAGCAACCATTTCGGATTCGACCACGTTCAATAAATCGAATATTACTGATTTTCAGTTCATCTGGAAATGCTAACAACTTTGGTTTTTCGAATAGAACAACCTGTATATTTTAACATATTTGAGTTCAACAGGTCAAAACAAGTGCAATCCTGATGTCGAATGTAGTTTCTCCAGGAAAGTTGGAATTCGAATAATTGTTTTATTCGACCTCGTGAATAAATGAGATGCGGTCAAGGGTATTCACAGTGAGTCTCACATAACAGAGAGTAATATTTTTTTTCCAATTAGTTAACAGGATTCAGAAATTTTGTTTTCCACAGCTCACTTAGTTGAATGATCATTCAAACAGCAAAGAAATTCATGAACTTGTTGAATTTTGAATTTATACAATTTGCTACTGCACCAAAATACAAAAATGATATGTCATTTCTTCCCTCAATGTATGTTCTAGCAAGACATGTAAGGTGGCTCATAGGGGTTCCATTTCGAAAAATTGATTTTTGATCAGAATATGATGTGACTGAATCAATTCAGGTGACACAAACGAAATGAATTCTTCAGAACAAATTGTATTTCTCTGTTATGTGTGACTCATTGTAATCACCTTGACCACATCTCATTCATCCACATGGTGAAAAACAACTTCAATTCAAATTTCTCAGAGAGAATTACATTTGAAATAAAGGTTGCACTTGTTTCGACCTGTTGAATATGAATATGTAAAAATATACAGAGTGTTCCATTTGAGAAAACAACAGGTGTTCGCCATACCCAGACAGCACCAGATATTCCATGAATCTCCCTATCATATTCCTTTCGGAATATTGGAATATTCTAGAAATAATCTGGAATATTCCGGAATATCTGTGGAATATTCTCTAAATATGCGAATGGGAATTCCTCAGATAATCATAGAATATACCCGAAAGAATATTCCATGTTGAATGTTCCTGGAATATTCCAATAAACATATTCTATAATAAAAAAAGTGACCCCAAGTAGGGATCGAACTCGTGACCTCAAGACTATCAGAGCAACGCCTTGACCACTAGGCCAGTAATCGAATTGAATGATTTTATACATATCAAGTTCTTATGAGAGCATTGTTCGAAATCGGATCATAAACACTTTTTGTTTCAAAATCTCCTTACATCTGATTGATGTTCGATACTCTCATCTCTGAAATAATAAATGGTATTTATGTGTTGAGAAACATAGGAATATTCATGGAATATTTCATAAATATACCACACAGAATATTCAGTTGAGAATATTTCATGAATATACCGCACAGAATATTCAGTTGGGTATATTTCATGAATATACCCCACAGAATATTCAGTTGGGTATATTTCATGAATATACAACAGAGAATATTCAGTTGGGAATATTCCTGGAAGATTCATACCTGAATATTCCCTGAACATGTCCGACTATTCACTTTGGAATATTCCTTTCAGATGTTCCAGAGGCATGTATATATTCTAGGAATAATCGATGAATATTCGGAATATACTCCTCCTTTTTAGCATATTTAGAGAATATTCTATGAATATCCAGTGCTGTCTGGGTATCGAATTATGATGTGATCAAATTTAAAATGGTTGCTCATACAACTGTACAGAATTTCAGAATAATCCATTCACGAATGCAGAAGTTGAAGGGGTGGCCTGATAAACTGTGTCACTATAGGTATTCCCTGAGTCAGTTTTTGGAGCAGGAATTTCACAGTTGGAGGGGAACATTTTTTGAAGATGAAAATTCCATGTAGAAATTGAATGCGTGAGAGCTCCGTTTTCAATATACATGCGATATCGAAGTTCGGTTTTTTTGTTTTGTTTTTCAAGTTTTCAAGTTTTGAGTAAATTATTGAGAAATATGACCGAAAAATTGAATTCAATTAGAAGATTTTTTTTTTGGGCATCCATCACGAAATCCATATAGTTTTCGTGAATCATACGGCAGAGCATCAGAGATCATCTGAATCGATGTTTTATTGAACGAAGAGACGGCATGCGAAAAAGTCTGAGAGCGCTAAATTGAGAACGGCCTCCAAAGTTGTATCACTCTGTAAGTCTCAATCATCTAGTTTACGGAATGTAATAAGTGTAACAAATTCCGATTGATAATCCTGGGAACTGAAGTGAACAAATTCAAAAATGACTTGAAAATTTGTAATTTTCACACCAAGCATATCAAAAACCTCGTCAAAAGCAATAGAACGAAGAATAGAAGAATTTCCATCAACAAATGAATATGTGTTCTCCCAACTGTTGAAGTCCTGAAGCAACAATAACTGACTCACCCTGTATTCTCGCACTCATTTTTTGTTTTTTTCTATTTCAGATCTGGTTTGGTTAAATCTAGAAGAATCTGGATCCAGAGACTACAAGGCTGCAATGTGCAAACTCTGCAGCCTCACCAGTTACATTCCAACAGAACAGGTCAACTTTTCTGTCAAATCCTCACCAAAATGTTCCTTCTCAAGAAGAACAAAGACCCAACCAACATAATATTCAAAATTCCATCATTCTTGCGAAGAGATACAAAGCCATAGGAAACGAGAAACCATCAACGCCTCCCGAAGGTTATATCCATGATCACTATAGCCCGATACCACCTAGGAAGTTATTGAGAAAATCCAAGTCAGAAGAATCAAGAAATCCTAGATACGGGAGTTCATTTCAAGAACGTAGTAGAAATGATAATCATACTTCCACACCGATAGTAGATAAAACAATAAAAAAGCCAAAACTACTACATAGTATTTTGAGAAAATTCGATAACACTTTAGGAACAAAACAAGCCAAAGATAAGCGTCCAACCATCTCCGAGACGAAAGCAATACTACTGAACAAATCTGAGTACCAATTCATACCCAAACAAATCCATTTGCCTGATAAAAATTTATCTCATACTTATCTCCCAGCTGATAATTCTGTAACAAGTAACTGGCCTTTACAACTAACATTAAGAAAACATCGGGACGTGAGCACACAGCCCGAGCAAATCCAAACCAAAGAACGATCTAGTGACCCACATCGCGCGAAAACCAAGTTATCTCCTCCACCCGAAGGTGTTTCGTCATCAAAAACGGTCGGCGATAGCTATGGAAATGATGATGGCGATGTGAACTGTTTTTCGGACAAAAGTGTCGCGTCGACGAAAACACTTTTCGCTGAAGGTGCAACGAAATCCAGCAGTTTCAATTTCAATATGTTTCGGGGCGGTATGAAATTGAAGGAACGGTTCGTGGTGGGTTTAAGTGTCGCCGCGGTTTTGTTTACTGTGTTGCTGGTGGTGGACATTCAGATGGATCTCGGGATCTCGGGAAAACACTTGGTGCCGTCTCATGGAAGGATTAAGTACGTTGTGAAAGAGGAAGGGCCGGAGTCTGTGTACAATAGGTTCAGGAATAGGCTGCTCCAGAAAACGCACAGGTAGGTACCAATCAGACAGCACATAATTGACAATAGCTGCTGAATCTCCGAAAGTTAATTGGTATCTCAGTTATTACCTATGTGCGACACCTCATATGTATGGTTTGCCAAAAATCCACATATAGAATGTTCCAATCAGACCAGAGTTGTCTTCTTCATCAATTCCCCTTGTTGCGAATTAGCACCTGTTTCGAACCTATTATTAAGAGGGCTCACTGCTTTTGATAACACTTATCCAGTAAAAAACTCAATTGATTATCATACATCGTATTATTCATCCGGTTTAAAGAAGGATGTCAATTCTCAATTTCGGAGGATTTTATTTTTTATTTTTCATGTTCTCCTTCTGAATGTTCATCAGATATAATTTAATGTTCGACGTGGAAAATAGCCAGGAAAGTAATTGTTTTTTGTTGAATATTCAGAATGATGTGTGCATATACATATTTTTGTCTGAAGGAGAATGCAAATTCTCAATTTCAGAAGTTTTTATATTTTATTTTCAAACTCTTATCGTGTGTGTTCAATAGATATAATTCAATGTTCGCCGTGGCATATAGCCAGGAAAGTATAGTTGTTTTCTATTGAATGAACTGAAAAAGAGTAGATATTCTCATCACATAGAGAATGCGAATTCTCAATGTATTGCTTCATATAAATATATATCCATTTTTGTATGTCCATAATTTATCTGAGAATATTTTTCCTCACAATTAAAAATATTTCTATCTCCGATAATTCTGTACGAGATTATGTATTGGTTTCCTTAGATGTTACTAACTTGTTTCCTAGTATACCCCGGAAGATTGCCTTTCTCTAGTGAGGAATCTACTTTTTGACAATAATGGTCCTACATACATTTTAACAATTTTTGATTGATCAGAGTAAGTTTTCAAACAATTTTTCTTCAATTTTATGGTCAATTTCACGAACAAACCACTGATTTGGCAATGGGAAGCAACCATTTCCCCGAGCTTTCCCCCCTCTCTTGGCAGAAATTCTCATGAATAATTCAGAAAAACAATTTCTGAATAATCCCATCATCAATTCCAGATAGATTTTTTACCATAGATACGTGGACGACTGTCTTCTTCTATAGTTCTCATTACAATGGACCACTCATAATTTGCTCTTCTGTATTTTTCGAAAAATTTACCGATCTTCATGCGGTTTTCGATATCAGATGTGATATCTCTTCGGCTTCAAAGAGAGCTAGAACACTCTGAAAAAGCCCACAGAACAAAACACAGGGTGTGAAGTGGAACCATTACACTATGGTCTACATTTCCGATGCTGATAGAACTCGAAGAATTTCTTTCTGATCAAAAGTCAGACATATTATGATACACTGGCACCCCAACGTTCTCGTGATTTTTCCTCACTGGCCATTGGAACAAAAATGAGATTCTTCTTCCACTTGAGCTCAATATTGGGAAGAAAAATCATCATGTTTCGTGGGGGACAATGAAAGACGAAAAAAAGCACCATTGTAGAATATACAGGGTGATAAGAAAATGGAACTAAATCTTATTTCGGTAAAAAAAATCAAGAACGGTGACTAAAACCATGGCCCATTCGATTCAGTATATTCAGAAACGGTCTTCTCGATATTCTTTATTTATATTAGACTATTAACTCAAGACGTTTTCGAAAATTCACCTCTAATTGAAATACATGTTGCAAAATTCTCGATTCAAACTTGTTTTCTGATAACGCTTATTCTTATCAACTGATTTCCAATATATTGATTGCCCAAGTATGAGACACAAAGTATTGTTGTTCAATATACTGAGTGTTTCACAACTTATCTGACAAATTCCATCCACAACTACAATATTACATGAGAACCCGATCACATAAGAATTTTATAGAAGTGAAACGAGATGGGAAATGGAATCTATAACACTTTATATCCACTAAAACTATTCGAAATGGGCTCTATTGGCAAAATATGACATTAGTGAATTCTTCAGCATTATGAGGATATTGAGGATCCAACTGAAAAGTCCTATATCCTGAATTTCAGTACTCAGTAGGGCCTCCCCGATTCAACAAAACCTCATGAAACCGGTTTGGCGTAGATTCTATGAAGTTGCTGGTGAAGTCTATTGGTATTGCCTCCCATTCTTCTGACATAAGCTTGGATAAGGTTGTCATTATTTTGGGATGCCTCTTGCCTTCTCGATAGGTTGAGTTTCATTCGGCTGCATACATGTTCAATCGGATTCAGATCTGGAGATAATGCTGGCTACCACATTCTTCTAACATTATTGTTTTCTAGAGTTCGTAATTCGTCAGATGAATTGTGAAACACTCAGTATATTGAACAACAATACTTTGTGTCTCATATTTGGGCAATAAATATTGGAAGTCAGTTGATGAGAATCATCGATATCAGTAAACAAGTTTCAATTGGGAATATTCATCTTGTCTCGAGTTAATAGTCTAATATCAATATCGAGAAGGCCGTTTCTGAATATACTGAATAAAATGAGTCATGGTTTTAGTCACCGTTTTTTTTTTACTGAAATGAGACTATGTTCTATTTTCTTAACATCCTGTATATTTCACAATGGTGCTATTTTTGTCTTTCGTTATCCTCCAAAAAACATGAGAACAGTCCTTTCCTTGGTCCTTCCCAATATTCAGCCTAAGTGGAGTTTTATAGAAAGAATATAATAAATGTAAGACTTTGGAAAAATAATCTAATTTTTGTTTCAATGGCCAATTAAGGAGAAATCACGAGAACGTCATGAGGTGAGGTCCTAGTGTGTCATAATGTGACTGACTTGTGATCAGCAAAAAATTTCTCGAGTTCTTGCAGCATTGGAAATGTAGACCATAGTGTAATGGTTTCACTTTACACCCCGTGTTTTGTTCTGCGGACTTCTTCAGAGTGTTCTAGCTCTATTTGAAGCTGATGAAATATTATATCACATATTGAAAGCCGCATGAAGATCGGTCAATGTTTTCAAAAAATACAGGTCTTCGAGAATGAGTCACATTACGATTGGTTCATTCAGTGAGTTCAGAACTGTATTTGAAGTTTTTTTTTCTGATGTTTCCGATTTCCTCAACCATATCAACACTCTTCATTACAACATCGTTCTCAAAATGGAATGAAGTAGATGGTTACTCACTTCTCCTAGATTTACTCATTATCAAAAATCCTGAAACCCAAAGATTAGAGTTTGAAATATACAGGGCGTCTCATAATTGAATGCTGATCCTAAAGGGTGATAATCCTTGAATGATTTTGAAAAAAATTCTTCATGTGAACATAGGTCCGTAACAGCTTCGTTTCTGAGATACAGGATGTTGAAATTTAACAAAAAAATCAGTTATTCCCCAATATCTCTGAAACCGCTCTGGATTTTGCCTTCAATTCTGGTACATGCCAAGTACGCATAGAAATACATTCTTTCCATTATTAAGGATTTCCTAATTTCCATCAGTGGCGTCCCTGTTAACATACCCTCTCATATTTTTCATCAAAATAATGATACGCCACTGTCTTTTTTCTGAATAAATATCATTTTTGTAATTATCCTCTATCTTCTCATAAAAATGGTATCGTGTCTTTTTTTCGTCCGGCGAACGGTTTTTGAGTTAGAAAATAAAATGCGTTCATCTGCTTGTCCCTATTCGATTTTTACTGTTAGTCTTGATTTCACAATTATTGTGGTAACCAAGAGATCTAAGCAATATTTTTATAATTTCATGGTAACTATTTTCAAGTTTTTTTATCATTACATTACATTTTTATTTTTAAAAACATAACTATTGAGAACAAGAATACCAAAATCAAATTAAATGTTCAAAATGTCTGCCTCCTGCAAGTCCCCCACGACCTATACAGCGATTATGGAAGTTTTGAATTATATATTCGCGTGTCAGAGCCCTAAAATGAGAAGGTGCACCATCGTGCATAAACCACATGCGAATTGGCATTAAAATAGGAACATCTCCCAACAGAATTGGCAAATTATCTTCAAGAAATCGGCGATAATTATGTCCATTCAATCTCAATGGTAAAAGAAGGTCCAATTAGGTAATCTCCAATAATTCCAGCCCAAAAATCTGATGATAACTGCTCCTGGTGATGAGATTCCACGATTGCATGCGGATTTTCTTCGGCCCAAAAATGATTATTATGAAAATTTCTGATCCTGTTTTTGGTAAAACTAGCTTCGTTCGTGAATAAAATTTCTGTGTCAGATGAAGGATTTTCAGTAACTTTTTGGAGAAACCATTGGCAGAAATTCACTCGTAATGAAAAGTCTCGAGGAAGTAGAGCCTGAACCCGTTGAATGTGATAGGAATATAATAAATAGTCATGAAGAATCCTCCATACTAGACTATGGGCGATATTCAAATTATTGGCAACTTGCCTCGTACTTATTTCGGGATTTTCGTCAACTGAACAGCTACCTCAATTTCTGGCACGCGAATATTTAAACCAAAACTTCCATAATCGCTGTATAGGTCGTGAGGGACTTGCAGGAGGCGGACATTTTGAACACTTAATTTGATTTTGGTATTTTTGTTCTTGATAGTTATGTTTTTAAAAATAAAAATGTAATTTTATGCGTACCCATTACAAGAACTTGAAAATAGTTACCATAAATTATGGAAATATTGCTTGGTTACCACAATTGTGGAATTAAGACTAACAGTAAAAACCGAATTGGGACAAGCAAATGAACGCATTTTATTTTCTAACTCCGTTTCTAACCGTTCGCCGGACGAAAAAAAGACAATCCACCATTTTTATGAGAAGATAGAGGATGATTACAAAAATAATATTTATTTGGGAAAAAGACAGTGGCGTATCATTATTTTGATGAAAAATATGACAGGGTATGTTGACAGGGACGCCACTGATGGAAATTAGGAAATCATTTATTATGGAAAAAATGTATTCCTATGCGTACTTGGCATGTACCAAAATTGAAGAAGAAAGCCAGAGCGGTTTCAGAGATATTGGGAAATAACTGATT